ACATGCAAAATGCGACATTTTTTGTATTTTTATTAATTTAACAAATAAACATGCACATACAAATAATTTCACAAAAATACCACAAAATTGCGCACCAAGAAAAATCATTTTATTTTTGAATTTTTGGGAGTAATTCTCATATAGGGCAAAAATCACGTGCTTACAGAGTAAAATAACATTGTCATGATCCAAAATTCGCATGTCGTGATGACGCATATCTCAATATTAGGCAAACCGACATCCAAATTAAATCACAAAATTCTTTAACTTTGAAACATAATAAATAAATTTAAGAGTAAAATCCCACAATTTCTGATACAAAATAATATGTCTTTATACAATACACTCCGAAAATCTGGTGTTACAGAGTACAATAGCATATAAATGATAATAGTCTAACTGATACAAACACTGTCTGGAAATGTAGAACAATACAAATAACTTAAAGGAAATGTAGAACAATACAAATAACTCAAGGTCCGCAGACGCCAAAGCAGCTACCTCGATAGTCTCCAACAGATAAATCTCTGAAATCTAGCAGCCGACGTATCTCGAGATACCTGGGTCTGCACACGAAGTGCAGAGTGTAGTATGAGTACAACCAACTCAATGTAATCAATATATAACAAGACTAACCTTTGGGCTGAAAGTAGTGACGAGCTCAACAGGTACATTCCAGTATAGAAATAACAGTATAGAAATATAGACATGCTTTCAAGTTCAACAAATAAACTCAACACAAATAAAATCGACAAATAAACTCAACACAAATAAAATCGATCAAAATCTGAAAGAGAGAAGACTTTTGAACTTGTGGTGTAGAATAAAACACATATATTTTGTGTGGCTATAAATCATATATTTTGGAAAGAGAAAACTTTTGAACTTGTGGTGTAAAATATAACACATATATTTTGTGTGGCTATAAATCATTACATAAAGGTAAATTATTTCCAAATAGGGAAAGAGGTCATTCCTTTTTGGCACGGACTAAAAAGGAAATAGGTTCACATAAATTGAAATGGAGGGAGTACTATATATGGCCAATCCAGCCTAGGAAAGATACATCCTTCAATATAAATATCAATTGACAGTCAGTCACTCAGTACTATATAAGGCCAATACAACCCAGGGAACTCTTCCCAAATAAAAAAAAAATAAGGCAACTTCATGACAAAAGAACTCCATCCCAAATATAAATAATAAAGCAACTCCATGCCCAGGGAACTCCATCCCAAATATAAAGAAATTGCGCTCACTGTGGACGGGGGTTGCAGACTCCGGAGAGGCTCCTTCATCTCAAGCACTATAATAAGCCAGATCCAGGCATAAAATAATAAAAATATGTTGCGACGTGCAGCCCGATCCCATAAATATAACTCACAATCAGGCCCTCGACATCACTCGATCATTAATCTCTCCGGTCTCTCAGGCTCACAATGTCTTGAAAATCAACCCGACAAATTGATATGATGTATCAATGAATGTCAACAGAGACTGAGATATGATATGTAAATGATAGATGTGACCGAGTACAGAATTGTACATTAAACAAGTAACTCGACATGATTATTTAATTATGCAACTCCACGGAATCAATTAAGTCACAATTCCTATGGTGCATGCCCACACGCCCGTCACCTAGCATGTGCGTCACTTCCACACCAATCATATAACACGTAATCCAGGGATTAATACCCTCAGAACAAAGTTTAAAAGTGTTACTTGACTCAAACCATGAAATTCTATATTCCAATAAGTCCTTGCCTCGCGAATTGGCCTCCGACCGCCTCGATTCTAGTCACAAATAATTCGATACAATCAACACAAATAATAGAAATCAATTCCATATGAAAATATTAAATTTCCCAATTAAATCTGAAAAGTCAACCCAAAAGTCAACGATGGGGCCCACGTCTCGGAACCCCGACAAAGGTTACAAAAATCCGATCACAACTCGACTTTCAAATCCTCAAATTAAAGCCTATGAAGTTTTCACAATTTTCCCCAAATTTCCAACTCAACTCACAAATTAAATGATGAAAATGACAATGGATTCATGTAATATATCCAAAACCGAGTTAGAATCACTTATCCCGATGAATTCTTTAAAAACACATGAAAAATCGCCACAAATCGAGCTCTCTAGGTCCAAAAATGAAAAATGAGATGAAACCCTCGTTTATATGGTACCACATCTTATCTCTCAATGTTCTGACCGCACATTTTTTGTGTGGTCCGCACATTCCAAGTTTCGCGGCCGCAATCCAAATTGTGCAGCCGCACTTCAGCAGCCACTGCACTACTAGGATTCAGTAAATTGACCATAAGTTTTGGTAGAAATGTTGAATGATTTAACTGTCCGAAAACTAGATTCAAAGGGCTACAACTTTTGTTTTCGGATCATCTCCAAATTCCTTATAGATTAAAAATATAAGCTTGCGAAGCCAGACCATCAAACCTGCAGATTCCCCTTTCTGCGGCCACGAGAGCACTCCAAAAATATGCCCTCTTCACTTCAACTACTTCGGGACATCATCATAGTGCCGAAAGGCCCAAATTTGTTCAAAACTCACCCGAGGTCACTGGGACCCCATCTAAACATACCAGCAAGTTCTAAAACATGATACGAACTTACCTAAAGCCTCAAATCACACATAACAATATCAAAACGCGAATTGCATCCCAATTCAAGCCTAATCAACACTAACGAATTCCAACTTCTACGATCGATACCGAAACCTATCAAATCAATTTCGATTGACCTCAAATTTTGCACCAAGTCATAAATGACTTAGCGGACCTACTAAAATTTCCAAAACTGAAATCCGAGCCCGTTTACCAGAAAGTCAACTCTCGATCAAGCTTCTCAATTTTAACACTTCTAATTTTTCAACTTTTGCCATTTCAAGCCAAACTCAACTACAAACTTCCAAATAGTTATCCGGACAAACTCCTAAGTCCGAAATCACCATACGGAGCTATTGGAACCATCAAAATACCATTTCGGGGTCGTCTATACATAATTCATCATCCGGTCAATTATTTCAATATAAGCTTTAAATTTTGGAACTAATTGTTCCAATTCATTCTGAAACCTCCTCGACAAGTCACATTATTACAATTAAGCATAAAATATTCAGTAAATGGGGGAACGGGGATGTAATACTTAAAACGACCGGCCAGGTCGTTACAAACATGGATGACCTAACATTAGGCAGCTCAAAAATGGGGACAGGCTTGACCCTGATACCATGTTAAGAAAAATGAACCTATGGCATAACTCAACTCTAAAGTCAACTCAAGTGGTGAGAATTCTCCAACATCATATAAAGAGACTACAAACCATACACTTAACCGATGTGGAATCTAACACTCCAAATTCCCTCACAATTCTTTCAGGCAACATGCATGAGTATTTTGATCATGAGAGAAACACTATAAACACCCTCATAATTCTTTCAGCCAACATGCATGAGTATTTTGATCATGAGAGAAACACTATAAACACCCTCATAATTCTTTCAGCCAACATGCATGAGTATTTCCATCATGCTACTCTTTCACCAAGTTTGGCATACTTAATTTACTACAACACCATAAGGACAATACGGACTCTATATACTTCTTAAAATTCGAAATTGATCATTGGAATCTCAAGTTTTTCATTTTTGGGATATCCAAATACATAATCGAGTACACTATTAAGGTTTACTTTTGCGACTAATAAATAATAGGAAGGGTACTATTGAAAATAAGCTAATGAAGGGTACTATTGAAACTGCAACTGATGGTCCTTATCAAAAACCAAAAAAGGGAACGAAAACTAATGGTAATCTATTTGTATCTAAATGATAATTTGATGCCCAGTTAAAAGTTGAAAGCCAGGGGTTAAAACAAGTAGAAGATGAACCGTGTAGAAGATCAGGAGGTCCCAAAAGTGAAGAAAAGGGGCAAAACAAGAGTTTGCTCACCTGGCGAGAGTAATGTTCCGCATCCATTTTCATGGCAGACGTTTCAACTCTTAGCTTTTGCATTCCAGCCTGCAGTCAATAGAAAAATGCCCCTTAATGGTCATAAAGGCATCAATTTAGAGCAAAAGATCATTTTATTTACGACCAAAAAGGAACTATTACAATATTAGCACACACTAGTTAGAGATTGACCCTAACTATAGAGCAATAAACTTGCCTCCAAAGAAGCTAGCTTGCTTTCGGCCTCCCTCTGACCTTGGCGTGCACGCTCCACTTCTTGCCATGCCTGCATCCGCATGACCAGAAAATGAGATTAAAATAGACATCAGGAGGTTTGAATTACTCTCCGTTCAGATAGTTATCTAGCTGACATGCATCATTTCAGTCTCAAACAGTCTCAGGCAGCAAACCAGGAAAGATCATTTTTGGTGTTGCAACTGAACAAACGAATACGAGGCAGGATGGAAACATCTATGGCTATCAAGGATCCAGTTGCAAGTGCAAAATTTCTAAAGTGCAGCATGCATGGCTGATAATGTCAAAAACAAGGTCCCTTGTCCAGTAGAGAATTGTAAGTTTAATATTTTCAAGATGGCAACGCAATTCTACAGGCATAATATGTACCGTATGCATGAAAACATCTAATTTGCATGACTTAAACTTTAATATCAGGAGCATAGCAATTTGCTTAGTAAGATAAGAATTTCTCTCTTCATAATCTCTTTCTAACTCAAGTGTTTTGCAACCATCAAAAATTTCAAGTTTACTAGTAATTTGAAATTCTTGGTTCTTTCATGTTACTTCGAAATTCGAAATGCATTCAGGTGAGCAGTTATAGAACCTGAAGCACTTGATTTTCCTCTTCTGAGGACTTCTTTTGTCCACGGCGTGCACGAGCTTCCATGTCCTGCAGTTCTTGATTGAGAGTTGCACATTCAACCTGCCAGATTGAGTCATACCCTTGGATAAATTGAAAAATGCTGAAGAAATACTTTCATTATTGTTTTAAGGTATCCTTCATTTCCAATAAACCCAAAGAGTCACATATAGGATGGCATGAGAAAAATTATTGTTACCTTAAGCAGTGCTACCTTCTGCTCAAGCTCTGATGCCTTTGCAGTCCTCTCATCAACTGTTCTCTAATGCCAATAGTCATACAAAGATTTAAAAGATATATGTTTACTTCATTAAATAATGACAATCACAAATGCATTATAATGAGAGACTATGGTGCTGCAAAAAGAATGAAACTTATGATGTACACGTACAAACAATAAGCCAATTGCTAGAGGTACACATAATTAAAAAGAAGTTAATTGCTTCAGTTGTTTTAGATTCCTGCTTAAGACCAAAAGGACAACTACTAGAATCTGGTCCAATTAAGCACGATGGCTGAAGTGGTATGGAAAAAAGTGATCTGTTTGGGGGAAAATTGAAAATAAAAGCAATCCCTCTTCTTTTCAAAATTGACGACAATGTCTCAACAATGGGTGGTAAATTAGAAATAGCTACAAGCAATTATTGCTATCAAATTACAACATAGGCAATAGGTTCATGCCACAATTCTAGCTCTTAGAGTCAGCTCAAAGTCTACCTCTTATTATCAATTTGCCACTACCATAAACAGGGGCGGCTCAAGAAGATTGAGGGCCTAAAGCCAATCTATAATGAGAGGCCTTAAATTTTTTTATTTATTTTTTTCTATCATTCTAGCTTTTTCCGTTGATTTATTCTTGAAATCACCTCTTGAAAAAAAGGGCCCTCGGGTCCAGACCCACAAATGAATAGGAAGCGAGGCGAGGGTCCTTCATTAAAGGGGGAAAAGAGGGGTGGGGCTTTGTTCCGGGGGGCCACCTTGTGCAGCTTTAGAAAGGAGAGAATTTCAGAAAGTCATTCTCTCCCACCTTTTCTAACTTGGCCCAAAACGGTAGCATAGTCTTCTATTAATCGAGTAATTCTTCATCTACGGTCATCAGCTCGGCAGATAAGAAGAGCGAGCAAAAAACGGAAAGAAGAGTATGAGGGGCAGCGGCTCACCATGTTGTCATGTAAACCCTTTGTCTATTCGGCTCTTTCCTTTAATAAGAACAATCGAAATGTGACACTTTCACCACGAAATACCGAGAATTTTTGTTGATGCAAAGTCATTAATGATTCATTTTTTATAATACAACTAATATATTTAGTCTCTCTTGAATCATTTTTTATCTTAGGTAAGATTTTATCAATTTTAATTTTCTTCTTTCCGCTGAGGAAATTAAACTGTTACATGAATTGTTAAAATTATTCTATGCAATATAGGCCTTTAGAAAAGAATCAACATTAAAGGAAATATTTTTTCACATAATCTAAGGATCTCAATATGCACATTCAAAGTTGCAAATTATTTTTTCTCTATGCTTTTATAGATTAAAAAATATAGACCTCTTAACGGTCTATGGCAACATCAATATATATATTTTGATGGTAAACCTTTTTAACTGAACTAGCGCAATCAGTATATTATACCAAATAGACATGCCTAATAAAAACTCAAAAATTTCAAGCTCATATGTTGAACAAATGGCTTCATTTTTAATTTTTGGATCCTAATAAGCTTCTACTTACTTAAATATCTCATATTTGTGGAGCTTGAAATCTTAGCTTTGATACTTTTGATACGACTTTCCGACATGTTTGGGACAATGATTTAAGAGTTAGGTTAGATATACTATCTTTTTGATTGCCTATTAGAAGAAGAAAAAATAGTGGATTTATATGTTGTACTATTCCAAATATTCATATAACTAGAGTACAAGAATTAATCATATCACATAATACCAATTTAAATTATCACAATTTTTATAAAAAATTATATATTAATATGAAAAATTGGGGCCCCCAAACTTTTGGGGCCCAAAGCACTTGCTTTAGTTGCTTTAGGCTTCAGCCGCCTCTGACCATAAACTCAGTCCCTAGGATATACACATTCTCCAGGAGCAGGATACTGCACCATAACCCAAGTAAGGCATTACAGGAAGACCAGAACTTTTTAGCGAATTGTCTTATTCTCCTCAAGCTAATACTGTTCTGGGGAAGACTAGAACTTTTTAGCAAAATGTCTTTATTCTCCTCAAGCTAATACTGTTCTGGCTTGTGATTATATGTCGAAGCAAACAGCTAAATCCCTATGTCATAAAAGGGATAGCATGCAAGAATCAAAGGGCCATAATCTTAATTTACAAATCATGATGTAACAGCATAAGAGATTATACTTGCAGACCGAGAATACCTGCACCCTGGCCAAGGCTGTGGATGCCTCTAGAGCTCGGTGCTCCAGCTCTACCTCCCTTTCCATAGAAGCCTATTCTACATATGAAATGAATTATTAAATTGCAACAACACATCAAATAGCAAAATTCCACAGGCACAGGCTTCCTTTAGGCGGAGCCGCTATGACAGATGCATTTCAGATTCAGAGAGTGGGTTGCAGGGTAGAGGTGCTGGAAACACATCTATGCAGTTTAAAACAGAGACCTATATTAGGGAGAAATGAGAAGTTTTCTGCCATTTTGACTTAAATGATTCATGCAGATTTCAGGATATAAAACTGTTTATCACTTAAGACTTTAAATCATTTCTCAAAATCCTTAAGACAAATACTTAGCTAGTATTTTTTAGAATACTCAGCAAGTAAGTTTGTAACGACCCGACTTGTCGTTTTAAGAATTAGCATTCAGTTCAGCGGCTTAAGACCTCGAGCAGCTTCGTAATGTGTATTATGACTTACGCGCGCGGTCGAATTTGATTTTCGGATGATTCTAGACTTAATTGAAAGAACAATACATTCTTGTTTTGGAAGCTTAAATGGAAAAAGTTGACCGGAGTTTGACTTTTGTGCAAACGACCCCGGAATGGAACTTTGATGGTTCCAATAGCTTCTTATGGTTATTTCGGAATTAGACGTATGTCCGGAATTGGAGTTGGAAGTCCGTAGAACAATTCGGCGCATTTTGGCAAAATTAGAAAGTTGACGTGTTCTAATTATATTATTTTATGTGAGGACGAGGATTAATAATATGATGGATATCAATTGGATATGATAATAAGTGTATGAGGCATATTATAAGTGAATTAGGGCCTTAGGAGAAGCTTAAGTTTCAGCCAAGTTGAAAAATTACATGATAGACTAAAATTTCAAATGAGTACACACAAGACCAAACTTTGGACGAGCATATCTACACATATATAAGGTGTTATGTGATGCACAACCTATCAAATGAAAGATCTTCGAGTCTAGTTTCTAAAGCTTCAAACCGTTCGTCATTTGGACACTCCTGCAAAAAGTTATGACCAAATTACCAAAAGCTGGCAAAATGCAATTTTGCGACCAATTGTGCGACTGCAAATCAATTGTGTTGTTCGCAAAACAAGTATGCGAACCGCAAAATGGTCGCTGATCTGCCCAACGCAAACCACTTCTGGGCATCAGTTATGCAATCCATTGTGCGACCCGCATACCTATTGTGCGGTGCATTGTGCGATCGCATAACTGATTTCTGAGGCTTCATTTTCCTATTTTCATAACCCGACCCCATTTTGATAAATAGGCTTTCGGGTTTATTTTGGGGTGATTTTCTGAGCATTTTAGAGAGAGAAGGAGGAGACCTAACATTTTAATCATCCAATCTTGCACCAATCTTCAAGAATCAAGGAAGTCAATCACAAGATCTTCGTCTAAGAGGTAAAGTTCTAACCATAGTCTTCAATTTCGTATTTGGGGTAAAAATGGGTGATTAGGAGTATGATTCTTAGGTGTAAGAGTATTATGTATATATGCATGTACCAATAAGGTTTGTGGGAAGATTTTTGAGCTTAAATAAGTAAAGATTGGGTTGTGGGATGAAAGAATCCACCATAGAAGGACCTTGAAATCAAGATGCACACCTAGTGTTTGATGGAATGCTTAAATGAGGTGAACCCACGAATATCTTCCTAACTATGGTTCACTTTTGTTATGTTTCTAAATAAATTGAAGTTGCTAGGATTTCCGAAACATTGTAGCAATGTAAGGAAAGCTCAAGAAAGATTGGAGCCGTCCGGAGGTTAATTCACGTGAGAATGTTATTTTGGAATATCGGCCTAACTCCGTTAAGGTAAGTATCTTGCCTAACCTTGAGGTGGGGAATTACCCCTTAAGCATTGACTATTATGTGGAAATTGTATAATTGAAAATCATGTACGTGAGGTGACGAGTACGTGCTTGGTTTATATGTGCAAATTACATTGGTTGAAATTCGTAGATGCCCTTATGCATTAAATTGGAAAATTGTGGGAACATGGTAAATCCTTTATTTGTCATGCCTCATCCCTTGTTTGCCGAGGTTGTTTTAATATGATAATTTGGTGTGATTGCCACATTGATTTTCATGTAATTTATGTGTGTTTGTTGAATTGATATTTTTGGAAATAATTATATTATGGGTTTTTCATCTACAAACAATTAATTAAATATAGTTTAAATTAAGGTATTCATATATTTAACGAAAATTTGAGATAAAGAAAGTATTGTCCTCTGCTGAGTTATTTTACCATCCTTATTGTTGTTTTTGAGATTTTATATGCGGTTAGGGTTTAGGGTTTAGGGTTTAAGTTGTTTTTACATGATAATTTGGTGTGATTGCCACATTGATTTTCATGTGATTTGTGTGTTTGTTGAATTGATATTTCTGGAAATAATTATATTATGGGTTTTTCATCTACAAACAATTAATTAAATATAGTTTAAATTAAGGTATTCATATATTTATCGAAAATTTGAGATAAAGAAAGTATTGTCCTCTGCTGAGTTATTTTACCATCCTTATTGTTGTTTTTAAGATTTTATATGCGGTGTGTAGAGTCTTGGTCTATTTACAAGAAATTTATTGATTTTTGCTACATCTTTGGAATTTGGTTGTGGTCAGTTGGCAAATTGTGATATGAATTGTTGTATCGTGTTGTTGTTTAAGCACTCTCCTTGATGTTATTTATGCTTCCTACCTTGTTGTTAATGATATACATGTGCTTGGTAAGGAAGAGTGTAATGAATAAAGGGTGATGACGTGCCATTTGAGAGTGTAAAGCACGAAGGGTGATGTCGTGCCATTTAAGAGTGTAAAGCACAAAGGGTGATGTCGTGCCATTTCCAATTATATTATCACGTGAGGATGAGAGTAAAAGCACGAAGGGTGATGCCGTGTCATTATTTTTATATTATCATATGTTCATGGTACGAAGGGTGTTTCCGTGTAGGCGAGGATAAGAGACATACATTTTATTGTGATATCTTTTTGTTGTGTATGCATTCATGCCTTTATCTTGAGATGTTATTGTGCACCTATGTTTTTTATGTGAATTGTAGGCATTGTAGCTTCCTGTGTGCCTCCCACTTTATTTCTTTTATTGTTATTGGCATTCTCCCACCTAGTTGGTATTGTTATATGTATGCATTGTGAGAAAGAGATAAATGCACGAAGGGTGTTGATGTGCCAATTGATTTGATCTACATAGATATATTAGGTGAGAATGAGACAAGTGCACGAAGGTATTACCGTGCCATTCGATGTGATATGTTAAATATATTTCTCACACCGAGAAAGTTAAATGAGGTGTCACATGGTGACTTTTACTTGAAAGATATTTACTCGAAAGAATTACATTCGATAGATATATATTTACAAGAAAGAATTATATTTGAAAGATGTTTATTTAAAGGAAGCATATTCGGGATATATTTAATTGTACTGATTACATTCTAAAGATTTTTATTTGAAAACCTTATAGATAAAAGATGTATATTTTGAAGGACTTGATTTATTGGCTGTACATGTGTTTATTAATTGTTTGAGCGATATTTGTGGTGTTACTGTTGCTTTGTTGTTTATGGCATAAGTTGATTATTGTTGCTATTACTGCTATTTATTTTCTGTTATTTTGTATGATATATTGCACAGGTTATTTGACTAGTGAGTGTCTTGACTGTATCTCGTCACTACTCCACTGAGGTTAGTATTAATACTTACTGGGTACCGTTGTGGTGTACTCATGCTACACTTCTGTACATTTTTTTACAGAGCCAGGTATTGGAGATATCAAACTCGGACAAAGTTAGAGTGTGATCGCAATGATCCGAGGTAGAGCTGCTTGGTCGTTGCAGTCTCTTGGAGTCTTTCCATTTCATCGTACTGTCAATTATTATTCGAGCAGTATCGTATATTTGATTTCCCTGAGATCATTTCATCTATTCAGTAAGAGTTCGTGACTCAGTACTACCAGTCTTAAGAGGTTGTACAATTATTTTCGTTGTTAGTTTTGACACTTATTTCTAGTTCTATTTCTTGTAATAAATTCTATTTCAAAAAAAAAAAATGGTTTCAACTGTAATTAAGATCGTCTTACCTAGTCTTACAGACTAAGTGCCATCACGACGCCTGTGATGGGATTTGGGGTCGTGACAAAGTTTCAGTTACAAACCTTTTTAGTAGCATTATGAGCAGCACACTCTTCTTCTGCTCTTCCCCCGGCAGCATCCAGCTCCTCCCGTAAAGCCTGAACACATAAAAGTTTCTCACACTGTCAGAAAACCTTAAAGGAATAAAGGTGTTCAGGAGAAGCAAAACAAAGTAAATAATATCCAAAATATGTTGTGAATAGATATCGACATACTTGCATCATCCTTGTCTCTGTTAGTTCCCTGTTTCTCATTAAAGACTCCATATTAGCCTGAAGAAAAGCAGAACAAAACTTAGCCTTCCTTTCAATTTGACATAATTGACTTCTGGACACACAATGGTAAAAATACTGATAGTTCAACAAGATCAGAATGGTAAAAACCAGAGTCCTCAGGGTAAGCCCTTTCTTTTAACTATAGAAGCTTCACTTGTATTGGACTAGGAAACCACCCATAGACACACAATTCCAAGCACCAGAATTTTAAATAGAAGTCATAATAATTAATCAGACTGACAGAGATGATACCCAGAACAAACGCGGATACAATGAAATGTCACTTTGCAAGTGTGGTAGTACAAGGTAACAGGTATTTTTTTCTTAAAGGTAAACGTTAAAGGCTAACAAGTAGTTTGAAATGAACCTGCAATGATGCCAGGTTTCCTTCGGATAGTGCAGCTTGCTTCTTAAGTGCATCCGTAGAACTAACAAGAACCTCAATTTCAGCATTCTTTGCAGCAAGAGCCTCAGCCATACTGGACTCTGCCTTGGACACCTCTTTTTTGGCTGCAGATAAATCTTTCTGAAGCTCTTTTATCCGAGCCTCATATGATTTACTCAACTCCCTCTGTTACATCAGAATCAACGGCATATAATCAATAGGGACTTGAATGCAGAGATTTTAAAAACTCGGGTACTCTCCAATCAGACGGCCATATTCACCTCTGCAACAAGAAGCTCCTCTAGCTGAGCATTTTCAGATTTATACTCCTGAAGGTGTGATGAAAGTCCAGCACAAACCTGCACGTTTGAGTAAAAGCACGATAAGCTGTGAATCTTATCTTTCCGCAGAACAAGAATCTATTTTACACGGCAGCTGATAAAATCATCAAAAACGAAAAAAATGTTAATTATATTATGATCGTGATAATGAATCTTCAACTATTTATGTCATTCACATACTTTGTCAAGCAAAGCAGCCTCTCAATTTTCCATATCAGGAGTTTTGCCTTGTTTTCATACTCATGATAGGTAAATTAGGATGTAATGAGATTATTTATGTTTGTAATATTTAACCTATTAACACTTAGAGAGTCAATTTACAGCATAATTCAAATCAGTAAAGACTACTGCTCTGTCTCTTTTATTCTTTTTGAGTAAAATGGAGGCTTCATGCTCATTAATCTTTACAACACGAATATTACACGAATTTCTAACTTATGAGAAACCAACATTACTGAAATGAAGTCTTCGAACAAACCGTATTCATCATTTTGTTTTTGGTTCACAAAGGTTAAGTTAATTCAAACATGAGAGCAAGACAGCACTGCACTTACAGGTACTAACAGCCAGCACCATTTTCCATGTACTTGGTGAAGGAAAACGAAACAGAAGGCAAATTCAGCAACTAATCACCAGTTTAAATGTTGTTCCTCAGAGTTAAATAGAAGCTATTTCTTTGAGAAACACTCTAAACTGGTTCAAAAAATATTTTTTTGGAAAAAAACTTTTGCCATAACTCCTTGAAAAACTTAAACACATACATTTTTTGAATTTTTCTTTTTGCAGAATTTTTAAAATATTATGCACAAATCAAAGTCACCTTACCATTAATTCTAAATTAGAGGATAATGAAGTAATTAATGAACTCTTACAGGGGCTAACCGTGCTTCTTTTGACTGACCGGTAGAAGTTGCATTTTTAAGCAGTCCCTGAGGCTGAAAAAATAAATGTAGTCAACTCAGAAGAACTAATCACATGAACTAGAGATACACCAAGAGTTAGTTTATAAGACAATTCTACCTCATCAAGTTGCTCTGAAGGTTCATTGGAAGAAAATCGTTTTTGAGGCTGCAGATAACCTCATTATTAAAATTCTGAAAACTGTCAGTAGATAAAATAGCATTGTACCGAGAACGAACAAGCTAATAGAACAAAAAAAAAATTACATGCAACAATCATAAAAAATTATCACTTAATTATAGTAATAATTATGTTTAGTAATAATACAGCATTTGAAGAAGAAAAAAACGAACTTACCATTATTATGAACAATTTGAATTTGAGGAGACTGAAAAAAACTTTCAGCAGATGAAACTTCAGTTTGCTGATAAAACTGTTGAGTTTCGAACTGATAATATTTTTTTGCCATAAATACAATAAATCCACTGAATGTTTTTCTAATTTGACAAACTGAGATTTTACTCAAAATATCAAGTGAACCTTCTTCTCCGATTGATAAAAGAAGTCTTCGTACTTCTTCATCTGGTGAATTTTGTCTTTGATTTTTGCAGATTTGGTTTAGCATTTGTTCTACTGAAGGTGGAAGTTTAATCGCTTCTTCTTGTTCTTCAACTTCATTGTTGTAAGAGTAAAAATCTCCCATTTTTTGTTATCTTTTTGAAGAAAATTGCGATTTGGACGAAAGAATTGAGGGTTTTTTATGAGTTTTTTTGAGGATTTATGGAAGTTGGTTTGAATTTAGCAAAGCGGAACGTTGTCTGCTTGGTTAATCAAAAAAAGTTAATACCATAAAAACCCCTTGAACTATCTCATTATTTTCAATTTTCTATTTAAATTATTGTTGTCCCCAAAATATCCCTGAATTGAAATACCCGCATTGAAACAATACACATTTACTACTTCCGATCCACGATAAGTGATCAATTTATTTTTTTTATTTTAGTCCAAAATAAGTGTCCATTTGTATAATCAAGAAAAAATTTAAATTTTTTTTACAAAATTAACCTTATGTACATATCCGTAAAAAGTTTTCTTACTCCTAATATTAAATATTTAATCAAAGGTAGTTTAGTCATATTAGGTATTTTTGTATATAATTTAGTATTTTCTTAATGGATGTGCCAAAAGCAAATTGGTCACTTATTGTGGACCAAAGTGAGTAAAATCTCTTGTTAAATCCAACACCTTATAAATAATAAAGTTGAATCTATCTAACCTTATTTTGTGTAATCTAGAATTAGAGAATGTAGTTACCGGCCGAATGGTTCTTATTTGCGAAATTTTGTTTTGTAATCTTGTTTATATAGTATAAAATAAATTTTAATAAATGCACAAATGCCTTCATTTTTTTTATTGTGCTGCAAAGTAAATATAAATAAGGACTTATTCGACTAACATTAAGCACAATCACAATTAAACCTAAAATTAACACATTACATTAAATACTATTTTAGCTAAAATTCCAATAATTAATCAGCCATCCGAGAGTAATACAAGTACAAAAAAACTTAGTACAAACTATAAGTTAATATAGTTAGAAGCATCTCTAAGAATTCAATATCGGATTTTAATATATAAGACGTTATAGTTTAGGGGGGTCTAGGGATACAAGATAGTTTAACTAGGTAACTGACAAAAATATTTATAGTTTAAGAGGGTTTTAGGCTGACCGTAGTGTCACATGACACGTTTTTTAGATGATTAGGAGCGTACACTAGATGCACCTCTAAAAATGCAACGAGGGGGTCTAATACAAGGGCAATATAGTTCAGGTGAATTTTCAAGACACTAAATAGTTTAAGTAGGAAACTGACAAAACGTACTAATTTAGGGAGTTTTAGGATATTAACTCAATCAAAAAAGAATATATTAGTATTACTCCTCCCCTTCCAACTTATGTAACATTATATTTTTATATTTAATCTGTTCTAAAAAGAAAGATATATATTTATATCTAAAAATATTTTAACTACTTCCTTTTTATATCAATCCTTTTTAATAGTTGCGATTATAAAAAATAATTGGTGTAAATAGTTATCAATTTAGAAAATTAAGAAAGTATTAATTTTTAATTTTTTCAATTTTATCTTTACTCTAATAAATGTCGAGAGAGATTAAGTAGTCGTTAACTTGAAAATAATAATTTTTGAAGTAGTTTAAAAAAATAGATTTGGGAAGTTAAAGTTATACTTGGACATGCATTTTACTTGGGGGAAAAAAAGTGAACTTTTGTGAGTAAAAAAAAAAAATCACCCACAAGTTGTCCCAAACTAGTTTTTGGAACTTGATCATTTCTTCATAATTTTTTCAAAAAATTGGCCAAATTCTGTAAACAAATAATATCTTTTTAAATATATATATATATNCGTGACAAGTAAAAGGGACCGAACGGAATATAAACTTCTCATTTTATATTAATGAGAAGTTTTTATAGTCACACAAATATTATGGTATATTTAATTCTACAAAATTCAAAGTCGTATAGTTATACAAATATTATGTTATATGTAAAGCTATAAATTTCAAAAGTCTTTTGTTATTTCGTATCGTATCGAGTCAAATTTGATCACATAAATTGATACAAAAGGAATACTATTTAAGTAAAAACTTTATGTAGTTTAATCACACATCAAGTGTAAACCGATCAATAAAAAGATATCTACTTATAAATTCAAGTCAAAGTAAAAAATGTAATCTAACGATTATAACAGATTACCCTTTAGTTATCAATTTCCATAAATTCTTGTTCTAAGCAATTAATAATAATTAACCTTCAAGTAATCGGGTAAATATAATATAAAAAGAACTCAAAGTTCTTGCACTGTCATATATAATACTCCATTAACCCCCACCCCCCAACCACCGCACCACCCCCACCCCCAAAACCCAATACATCTTTTAGCATAACACAGACCTAGATGGAGAGCATCTTTATTTTATTTTTCACTCGATATCTTGTATACACATTAGGATTTGACTAAATTTGGATTTGCAGTACAAATAATTCTTCGATCCTTTAACATACACTTCAAAAAAAGACAGTTCGGTGCATTAAGCTCTCGCTATGCACGGGGTCCGGAAAAAGGTCGAACCATAATTGTTTATTGTGCAGTCTTACCCTGCATTTCTACAAAAGGCTGTTTACACGACTTGAACTCGTGACCTCCTGATCACATGACATCAACTTTACCGGTTTCTCCAAATGACACTGAATATGAGATTTTTCTTTTCCCCAGCCACTACGCTAAATTTGTAACCACTAGAACTATGTTGTAATTATTGCCATTCAATACTTCCGTCGGTTCAATTAAATTAATTTTTTAACTTTTTTTTACTTCACAATATTTGATTTTTTTAAGATATCAAAAAATAATTAACTTCGTTTTTCCAAAGTTGTCATTGGAATAAAGAACCTAGAAGTATTTGTTATATTCCTAAAGAACAAATTAAGGTTAATATGATCAATTTTATTGTTAATTAATATTAAAATATGAATTCCTTAAAATGTTTAAAAACAACCAAAAAATTAATTAAAGTGAACCGCACGTGAGTAAATAGTTGAGTTAAATATTGTCTTTTTCAGAAACCACGCATTTATTTGTCTTATGGTTTCTACAACATTGGAAATATGCGTCACAAGAGTTGATTAATACTTCCTCCCCCTTCGTCTTTATTACTCCATCCGTCTCATGTTAATAATCATGATTATTAAAAATATTTGTCTTCACATTAATTATTTGTTATTTTAAAAATTCAAGATAAAATAATTATTTTTTTCTTTTTTACTCTTAGTAATAATTGTTCTTGAAGATGGAGATAACACATAAATAGAATAAATATTCAATGAAGAGAGATTATATTTTAAGACATAAATAAGGGTAGAATAGTTTAATCCATTTCCTAATTAATATTTCTTAAACGGCGCGTAAAAAAGAAATACGACACATAATAAGACGGAGGAAGTATTAGTTTGACACTCCTTTAAGAAATTTTATTAACCGTTGTTTTACAAAATCATCCCTATTAATAGGTAGTTAAAATCCTATCAATAAAACAATAATAAGCAAACGTGGGTACTTAATAATAAGGATGACATTGAAAGAAAATAATAAATCTTTTTTTAATTTGCTAAAATGTACAAGTTGAAGAGAGAATTATTTTTAATATAATGAACTAGTAATAAATTGGACAATCAAGAAATGGTTTGCGACTATAGGTGCAGCAATGACTTGTTAGATATTTTAGGTAAGAATTTAAGTTATATATATCGTGAATATAAATAATTTTTGTCCCTATCAGATCAGTCGAATAATATTTACAAATAAGCATTTTTAAAATATAAAATTTATAATCTTGACAATAAAACATGTTAGGTGTTATAACAAGCAAAGGTAATATAATGGTATAGACTTATGTCTGTCGATAGAAGTATTACTTTTTATAGAGAGGGGCAATACTTTGACCAAAAAAATAGTTTCTCTGATTATAATATTTTAGAAATTTTCTTATGTTTACAAAAATATAAGGTTTGCAATTTGTGAACTTTTTAAAGTAATTTGAAAGATTTCTAATTATTCTTCTGATTAAAGGTAGCAAAATAAATTTTCAACAAAAAAAAAAATTTTGGTTCTTTTCAGCACCAAAAACAAAAAGGTACTTATCAAAATGTGAATATAAAACAAAAGAAAATTATATTTTCTTTAAAACAAAAGTTGAAAAAGTACAGTTTAAAACAAAAGTTGGACGAAAATGCAAAAAGAAAAGCAAGATGTGACAATTCAAGATTATAGTCAAAGATATTATATTCTGATTTCTTTGTACTTTTGACAAGTTTCGTCAAATTTGTCAAAATCTAATCCAATGGGAGATCAAAAAGGAATCTAGCGTTTGTTTTAAAAATTTGAAAAACAATTTTCAAAATTATTTTCCGAGGGAAAAAAAGGAAACGCAAAAACTTTAAAAAAACCTGTGGATTAAAGTGTAGTATTTTCATAACTTTCTTGGTTGTAACTCTACAATATCTACTCTTGTAAATATGAAGAGAGATTAATATAGTGAAAGCAATAGTAACAATAATAAATTATGATTGAAGATAAATAAGAATAATTTAGTCGAATTATCCTTTTAATTAGTATAGTATATATTTTCTTAAGGGTGTACAAGAGTCAAACATGACACAAGGGACCCAAAGGAATATAAACTTCTCATTTTGCATTAATGAGAAACTGGTATGTTGTTGTTGTTGTTATTGTTGTTATACTTTTGTATTAATGAGAAGTTTTTATAGTCAAATAAATATTATGATATATTTAATACCACAAAATTCAAAAAATTTATAGTCATATAAATATTATATTACGCGTAAGGTTATAAGTTTCCAAAGTTTTTGTGCTTTCGTAAGTATCGTATCGAGTTAAATTTGATCATATAAATTGGACTATTTAAGTAAAAACTTTGGGCGCTACTTTCCTTAGTAAAATCAAACATAGAGCACAAAAG